TTAAGCCCAAATCACGAAATTGGGGCAAAAAATGGGGGAAAAACTTAATTTCGTAATTTCTTTCTGAAATCACGTATGTAATTACAACTCTAGTAAAATAGCAATAGTATCGTCATTCCGTTAATTTCTTCCGAACAGCAGTGTAGAAACTACAATTTCAAGCAGGTTCTAATTAATGGAAAAACCGTTTAACACTCAAATTATAGAACATTATACATACAAACTCATGTGCAAATATCGGCGCTGTAGCTGGAATATCTTAGCAGATAGAGCCATTTGAATTTCACTATTACTTTCAGAACTTGCAAGATACGAAAATACAAGGCTTTCAATTTAAGGTTCCTAGAGGCTACATTTCTCATCCGTATATGACAAATACGGACATTTTCTGAAATTATAAGAATTTAAAAACACATTGGTGTCAGTAGAATAGAGTTACGTTACATAGTTTGTGAAATATGCTGGTTTAATTTTTGTGTTAAAAAATGTAGTTTCTTCAATTGACGAAATTTTCCGATTTTCCATATGTCACGGATTTTTCTGAAACCACGGAGCTACCACGAAAAAATATGGGAAATTCACTGGTGATACACTTTTTAGTTTAGAAGCTTAGTTTTTTTAGAAAATCGCAAAAGTATCGCCACAAACGTGAATTTTTTTCTGTTAGAAATGTAGAAAATTTCCATTTCATGCAGGTTCTGATTAAGGAGAAACTCCTTTTAAGACTCAAAGTAACGAGTAAAAAACATACAATCTCTTGTGCAAAATTTGAGTACAAAATCGAAATAGAACACATCGCTAGCTCTTTACCTATCCACCCTGCCTTGTGAGCCTTGTACGCATTCCCTTCTAAACAAACAGTTGGGCATGTGGGAGGTCACCTGCCATTCGCATCAGTGAAAATTGCGAGGTGTAATGACCTCTCACAGCTCAATAAGTTTCCCATCCAGACAAGGTTCCCGAATTTCTCTATTACTGATTGCATGCCATGTACAATAGCGGTAATCCAGCACAGGAGCGGATCCCACAATATGGCTAAGCAAACCGTCTTTACAGACTATCAGGGCTCTGCAGTTTCTTTCCTACCTTTGCCCACCCTAACATTGAACTAGGTAATCATATTATATTCCAAGCAACATTTGTAGAACAATCGTTTATTTTTAAATGTAAATAAAATTCACGCAAAAATTACCTCCAGTATTCTTGATCTTTTATTTAAATGATTAAAAATTAATATTAGTTAACATTGAAATTATACTTTAAAAATTTTACCTTAACTATAACCTTCAATAACAAATGTACATTTAAATTTACTTAAATGTTTTGATAAAATACGTACATTTCAGTAAACGAGACTACAGTAACCCGGCAATATATTAAACTAAAGGCGGAAAAATCTAACATTATCTAAGCGGGGCCAATGACTGCACGAGGAAGAATTATCCCTCCCCAACTACAAATGTATGCATGTAAGGAA